TCATCTGAATCCATAAAAATGAATGTTGTGAGAAAAAGTTCACATAATTAAAAATTAAGAATGTGTGGGCCAATGTGAGATGTAGAAACAAATAGTGAAAAAAAAATATAAAAGTAAAACATACCATTTAAAGTGCATTAATTAATGAGCATTAATTAAAACAAAGTTTGATCAAATAAGACAAATACTAGATATAATACCCTTGCAATTTTTTTTTTTAATTTTGCTAGAAAATGGGGTTATTTCAAAATCATTCTACTGGAAAGAATGCACCCTACTAGCACCTTGAAATCTTTTTTTCCTCATAGGAATTGTGAATCTGAGTGTCATATCATTTCCTCAACTGAGATTTAAATTCACAGTTGAGAGGCTAGAAAACTGATATGAACAAAACTGAAGTCAGAAAGCACCTCAAATCCTCTCTTCTATTTCCTTTAGGAAAATAAAAAGCAATGCTGTCCAGTGGTCTCTGCCTGATAAAACAGGTTTACTTGTAGGCTATACAGTGGTTTCTAGAAAAACAAATTCCTTAGAAAACTAGAGAGGTTTTGCCCAAGATTAAGTGGTTACATTGGCTTTGAAACACAGTGAATTTCCAAATTTAGAAAAACTGAATCTCTATTAATTATTTTTAAATGATCTCACAATTACTTAGAAAGTTAGAAAGATATTTCATACTCTGAAGTATAAAGAAGAAAACACAGGCTCTGTGGGAGGACATGGCAAATTGGAAGTGCAGATGAGACTATCCAGCCAGGCACAGAAGACTACCCGCCTATTCAGGACTGAGCAGAGTAAGGAAAAATATACAGCAAGTGAGATGCTTTTGAACATATTTTGGAACTTTAATTTTCTGCGTTAATCTACATAAGGAATTGATTTGAAAAGCAGCAGAGGGAAGCATGGCTGTGTTTGATCTTAAAAGGGGCCAAATTTGGGGAGGATCTCACTCTTGGCAATACATTACTTTAAAAAGTTGGCAGTAACTCAAGTAAAGAAATAAAAAGTGGACCTTAGGGCAAATTTAATTGAAGGAATGGGTCTGATATATTTTAGAGGATTCTGAAAGCACATCAAAAAGACATTTTTAAAAGGCATTTCGAAGTTGAATTGCCCAGGTGAACAAACAGGTACAGTAACAAGCAACAGGCGGAGCTCTTCTCACAACTGGAGGCAATGCTTCTCCAGTTCTCTGATGCATCTCAGGTCACCCAGACTTGTGAAAGGAATTCCTTTGCATGTCTAGAATAATAAAACATATGCACAGCTTTGGCTACTTATGGATGTCTTGGTTTCCAAAGTCCTACTTGTTCACTTCAATCAAAGAAAATATGGAATTTTGTCTCATTCCTCCAAGGATAAAAACTGTCTTTATTATTATCAAATTTATACCCAAAGCTATGCTTTTATTCTTTTTTTTAATTAGCTTTGTATGTCCAGCCTAAATCATAGCTTTGTATGTCCAGCCTAAATCATAATGAAATCTTGCTTGAAGACATTTCAAGCTGAATCTGAACTCAACACACAGAGTTTGAAAACTACAAATAACTTAATATAAAAAGCCAGGAATAATTTTCTATATGTACAGGCAAAAACAATGAGTTATGACCACTGCTTCCTTAGAGAGATGGCAAAATGATTCTAACTACAATATGCATACCAGTCAGACACATTAAAATCTGGGATAAAAGTATATTGTACTATGACATATGTGGGCTTGGGAAATAGAGAGTTACAGATTGGGCATGGTTCTCCAGGGTCTTACACATGCATCTCTCAGGAATACAGTGCACTGTGCTGCCACATACTCCTCATTCTTTGAGATTTAACTATCAAGAAATAATTGCTCTAGTTCAAAACATTTGCAAATGCAAACAGATATACGTTGTTGTCTATTTCTCTATTATTTTTTTAAAAAATAAACTGTATTGTGTATACTTAAGATATGCAACATGATATTATGGGAAATGTATGGATTGTAAAAGTAACTACAGTTAATCAAATAAAGATCACCATTTTCTCAACTAGTTACCCATTTTTTTTGTGTGATAGCAAAAACTACTACAATTTGTTCACTTAGCACAGATCCCAAATATCTATTAATATTGTTACACAAATGTTTTAAAACTTCCCATTAAAAAATTAGTAATAAGATATTTTCCCAAATCACTAAATATAAATTGTTAGAGCAAGATAAATCATTCTTAAAGTACTTGAACAGAATTCTTATATGTTCTATAATTTAAAATCTTAAACTTCTTTCAATTCCTTGTAGTATCCAACCAAGTCAGCAAATTAACTTGAAGTTGGAGACTAATTGAAACAAAATCTATCCCAAAAAGGTCATGTAGTGAAGTCATGATAAGGTCATTTCCCCAAGAATTCCCATAGTTATTTATTGCCCTTTGTTTGAAAGGACTGTGTCATCAACACATTAATTACTGGTTCAAAAAGAAAGCAGGCATCAAGGGGAGAGATGGTTCTGAGAGAGTTATGTAAAACAGGTCCTTCTCTAGCATGCCCCCTGAGAGATAAATCACTTTTTATTATAAAAGATTAAACTTTAAACCCATAAAATTGTTGTGCTCTGCTCAATGGCTCATATTATCATGCCACACCACACATTTTACAGTTTACAAATGTATGTCAAATACAGCTCAAGTTTAGTGGTCATACTTTTCATACTATTTCACTAATATTTTTGTGAGAAGAAGGCAATAAACAGCATGAAAGAATGTTACTTTTATAATAAAATATGATTTGTTTTTGGAATATTATGATTTTATTGTAGTATAAGAAAAAAATGGATCAATGTTGATATACAATTTTGGTTGGTTTCTCAGTATTCTACCCTCTTTCTATAAAAGGGCTCTAGACATTTTTTAAGCATGAAAATTAGAAGAAATGGACATTCCTTTAAAAATAAATTAAAAGATTTCAGCAGGCTATTCACTAATTAAATAAATACTAAATTTTGATGAATATGAATTGCTATTTCAGGCTAATTCATACAAGTATTAGTCACTAAGATTTATCATTTTTCACATTCCTTCCACATTTTATATGAAAAAGTAATGCAAGCATGTTCAGTTACATTAAAAATGCAATGGGGGACTGGGGTTGTGGCTCAGCAGTAGAGTGCTTGCCTAGTGTGTGCGACGCTCTATGTTCGATCCTCAGCACCACATAAAAATAAATAAATAAAACAAAGGTATTGTGTCCAACTACAATTAAAAAATAAATATTTAAAAAAATGCAATGGTTCACATAAAAAATCTGAAATAACAACAACTGCACTAAATATCTCCATCTGTAACCAAGATAGGACCTTGGGCAACTCAAGGTCCCATCTTCCCACTATGGGAAAGTTTTATATATTCTGTGATTTCCAAAATTAGTTCCTGCTTAAATATTTTATGACTCTAAAAATTCTAAGAAGTAAAAAAAAAATTTCCAGCAATCAATGGTTACTGCAATGAAAATAGGCAGTTTTGTTGTTTGAGCATCTTATGAATTATGAAATTAAACTTTACACAAAAATTTGGTGCTACAGAACATTCTTTTTTCAATAGTCACCATTATGAATCAAAAACAGACTATTGTAATACAATCAAACCACTGGTACTGGAACTTGAAGAGCCATGAGGAATTCAAATGCCTTCTATTCCTTACTAACATTATGTGGACAGAAAATATGGAGATGTATGCTTTTTAGCAGTATATACTGAGTCTATCATTGGGCTTCCCATATCCAGAAAATAAACAAATATTATTCCAAGAATCAGTATCAACATACAGCATATTTAAATATACTTTAAGGAAATAACTCTCTAATCAAGACTGCAAAGGTTAATGAATCAAGTTTTTTGAAGAAGATAATTTTTCCTAATATTTTATTCACACTTCTATCATATTTCATTACTATGCCAAAATTTTCATGTACATTTATATTGTCCAATTTAATATTCATAAAACATAATTACAGGGTAAGTCAAATAATGTTTACTTCAAAAAACATATACCTTCTACACACGTTTTTCTTGCAATAGATTAAGACTAACTCAACAGACCAAAACAAAACAAAAATTTTGCATGTCCAAAAAATCTCATTTGAAAGTTAAATTTTATGGTTTGCTGGGTTGTAACAGTTTTTTCTTATTTGAAATAATTGTAAACAAAACATTCCACTTAATTATATTTGCTAAAATTTATCATGTTAGAAGACAATCGGTAAACTACAACACTTATTTCTATAATCTTTATTATTAAGATAATTACATGGTTCTTGCTTCAGATTCACACTTTAGAAAGTAAATTATCAGCCTGACTCTTTGAGTTTCTATTTTTGGTTCTTTCATTTATTTGAAAAAAAAAAAAAAAAAGAAACTCTTTTTACCCATTTTTTAATATAATCAATGAAAGCAAGCCATTAAATTCTGTGTTTTATAATCAATGCTGTACTAGTGGAAAAGTAGTTAAAAGAGAGATGCTATTATACTAAGAACAATATGAAATTTATTTCCACAAATGAAATCTTGAATAGAGAAGATGTAAAGTTATAATCCAAGAGTCTATGAAAGACTATGTTACTTTCCTATGTATAATAATTTTTTCCTGATTAGCTAATATTTTATATAAATAACCTTAAATCTATTTTTATAATAAGAATATTCATTTTAAAATGAACCAAAATATAATAATGTAGCTGCACATATTTGGACAAACTGGTTAATCATTTATATGTTAAATAAATTATTAAAATACCTAATTATGCTTCCCACAGTCATAAAACAAAAATGTTATAGCTTTCAGTTGAAAATAACCCTCACAATAGTATTTTCAAAGAGTTTTTCTCCCTCTATGTCAGTATTATATGTTTGTATATATGTATATAATGAACCTTTAAATATTTAATTTATAAAAGGCAATGAATAAAATGTCAAGTCCTATTTTTGTCATTTTTTCTTAGTTCAATGAGAATAAAGCTTACGTTGCAGTACCTTTGGATATTGCTTGACAGGAATCAATACTCTTTCTGAGAGCTTTATATTTTTGTTGCTGATGACATCAAGATATTTCTTTTCTTCATCTTCCTTTTTTCCATCAGAACCTTGAAATTTTTCAATTTCTGAAAAAATCAGAAGGAAAAAAATTGAAGTAAATCATCATAAACATGCTGACTGTTCATATTCTTCCTCTTCCCAGATCAGATTTTGAAGAATCTTGATAAAAGGCCAGCAACAAAATCTTTCTAACAATGTGAATGTCCCTACTGTGAATAAGGTGACCGCTGCCAACTAAAACCAACAGGTGACACTTTAAGATGTGACTCTGTCTTCTGTGAAACAAGTGATACATTTAATTCATTTTAAACATCGTATAACAAAAGAGGAAATATTCACCCTGACTACCTAAATTGTATAAACAAACATAAGTTTCTAAGGAGCAATGAACAGAACAAAGCATATTTTAAAGTTATGTGTCATTTTTACTTAGCATCATTCGTAAATAAAAATAATTTAAAGATTGTAATCATCCAGTTATCAAAAATGAAACTGCACAATAGTTTTACATTCTAACCAATCTCAAAAACAATTAAAAAGTGGTCACAAATGTCAGATAAATGGTGAAATCTGTAAGCATTATCATTCATCAGGACGAAATTATCTGTTGAGAGGTGGAGAGGAACTATTAGTTTCATCCTGTGAGAATCTTGCCAAAATGGATATTTCTAAGTACATGTATACAATTTATCTACCCTTGCATCTTTTAATGAGCTAATTTCATAAAGTTTTTAGAAATTCTAATATAGTGACCAAAGATACATACAGCAGAAAATAAGAAAATGTTCCTGCTCTTATGGAATCTATATTTTTATGAGGAAAACACAATTAGAAAAGGAATACATGTGCAGAAACATTTGCGTATAGGAGTAGAGAATAAATATAGTAAAGCTAGAGAGAATATACAGGAGAGCAGAGGCAAGGTGTGGGCTATTACTTTAGATTTCCAGAATGACATTGAGCACAATTCTGAAGGATGAGAAAGAGCAAGAAGCAAGAAAACCTGTGGGCTGCAGAAAAGTAAATGTATTTGATGGGTGATATTCACAACCATTCAGAGCAGAGGGCAAGTGAAGAAAAAAAACAAACATAACATTTGTGTGGCTGAGAAATGATGCTCACTTGGACTAATAAGGGAGGAATGAGAGGACAAGTTAAAGCTAGAGTAACTCCATAGAATTCACTATACGAAATAAATGTTTTGGATTACAGAAAGTTTTCGTTGAACTAATTAGTTGTTATTTCCATAACATATCTGTAAATGGGTTTTCTGTCCTTCCTCTTGGCCAAATGTACCATTCCAAAAAACAATGTAAATGAAGCTATGGATATTACATGCAGAAGTTTCTTAATTTTGTTATAAATAGAACAAAACATTTTGCTTCTGTTGTTTTGGAGTAGAGGAAGGTGATGGTGGCTATTAAATATGAATATTTTAATACTTGTTTTTTTTTGCATTTTGAAACATCTATTTGTCTATTTCCAAATATGGCTACTATAGCATATCTTTGCTTTGTTCTTTGCTGTTCTATTTTTAATTTACATATGTCCAAAAATGATTTAATACAGGTGATAGAAAAATTCCCATAGTAAGCCAGGTAGTAATCTATTAGCAGAATACTTATTGGACCCAGAGGAAACCTAATCTTTTTGAAGTAATATTACATTGCTTACCCACATAATGCCTGAATAAGAGCTCCAAAGTATAGTTTATATAGGCATTTACAACCATTTTATCAATTATATGCTGAGGTTTACCTAAAGTATCTTTAAATAAACCAAACTGTTTAAAAATAAGTTATATGTCCGTAGATTCTACTTAGTATTATAGCATTATTTCCTACTTTCCCACTCCAAAGTACTAACAAGTCACTTTCAATTGCCTTTTTAAACTGAAAAGCACTCCTTATTCAGGCCTTTCAATCCCTTATATAATTATTACCCCAGAACTCTGACAACTGTAAAGAAAGAATATTCTTCACATCCTCTGACACTGACAATGGACATTTGATCACTGCCCTCTGGGTACCTGTACCTGTCTCATTTCCAAGCTTGCTGAGGTGATTGAACTGTGAAGCCCAATGAAGAAACTGACTCAATTCCCAATCAAGTATGAATGACTTCTTTGTCACTCTGTCATAAAAGAAATTAAATATGTCTGACATTATTTGCTCTCCACCAAACTACACCTTAGGCTTTTTAAGACATTTACAATTTGATCATTCTATCATTAATTATAATAACTTTCCTATCAAGAATTCTGGCTGAATAAAATAAAATTTCTTTCTGTTCACTTCTACAATTCCTTTTAAAACTGGTTATTTCTTTTCCCTTCCTGATACCTTCATGGAGTTATCTTGTCTTCCCCGACATGTCTATATACCAAACTAGCTCAATAACTGCATTTGTCAGTTGCACAGTCATATAATGCTACAAACTTTTCTGGATTTAAGAGAAATTTATATAGTACCAATTTGTGTGGGGAGAGCTAGTTTATATACAGAGAGCCAATTTATATAGTGCCTTTCTTATTTTAATTTTTAATTTAAAATAATTTGTTATTCCATAATTAATGCATATTCTTAATGTAACCTTTAGACAATACACAGGTATCCCTAATATTTCAAAGGAGTACATAGTCTGTCGTCACCAGGAATTACTGAATAGCACTATGCCAAAACATTGAGTCATTTCACTGGTTTATATTATCTATTTAAGTTGGCTGCCATGTTATTAAAAAAAAACAGATTTAATATCTTTAGGTAGATTTATATTTCGTAGAAAAACAGTAAACTACAGAGATTTTAATGTTTTCTGTTCTCATTTTATGGTTTATCTATTAATGTATATATTTATTTGAAATTTATTTTATCTATCATTGACTATTTTAAGTGGCTTTTGCCACAATACTAGTATTATGCAGATACTGCATAAGAGACTATCTTTGATCGTGACCACTCACTTTGTACCAGATATTTTAAAGAAAAAATTTAGTTCTGCTCTTGTATTATTTCATTTTCCTTATGGACAACTTAAATATGCTCCCTTTTGGCTTATTTCATTTTATAATGCTCTTAAGTTGCATTTTAATTCTTATTGATAAAATATTTAATGTTATGTATATTCCCTAGAAGAATCACAGACTATGGCTGTATATTTGAATTAGCTATCTTTTTATTAAAATTTATTTGTAGAATTTCTGCAATTCTGTTTTGCTAAGTTCAAAATAGCAGCATTTTATAGAAATATCTGGGTAGCAGAGTTTTTTATTAATTTATTTTTTAAATTGATTGAATTATGTCTATATTTTGGAATTCAAAGCGGATTTCTTAGTGGTTACATTTTTGGACATGACTCATGAATATTTCATGAAAAGCATTCTATTCTCTGTTGTTGTGGTTAAGAGCTGGATGTAAATCAATGAGATCTTTTTTTGCCAATAGGATTCATCTTGGGATAAAAGCAGTATGTGAACATTTTTCTAGATATGTATTTAAGAGTAGAATTTTGTTCGTAAATTATGCACATATTTTAATTTACTAGATAAACTAAACTATCATTTTGCTGTGTAAAATGTATCTAACACATTTATGAATGTTTTTATAAATTTCAAATCCCTACAATGAGGTTCAGTTTTGAACTTTATCTTACTCCAGTTACTGGAGGACTAAGTACTAAAGATACCCTCACAATTCTAGTACAAGGAACCTACAGAAACCATACATAAAAGTGATTTTTTTTCTAAACTCAAAAAAAAGTAATAAGCACACTGCTGGGTTTTGTGTGGGTTAGATTATGAGAAGATTGAAGAGGAAAAAAAGTAGGAAACTTGATGATCCCAAGAATCCTAAAACACAGAAATTTCAAGCACACATTTATATTACAAAGGGAATACAACTCTTCAATGTATAATTCTCAACAAGGTAACCTGTCAACAATGTGTAAACTGGGACACAATTATATAAGCTCCAATTTATGAATAATTTTGAAGCAGACCATTTAATGATGAGTACAAGACTTAAGGTAATAAAGTACCATTCCAGAAATACTGGGGAAAATTTAAACAAAAACAATTTCCTAGGACAAGTTTTTTCCTAATGGGGAAAAATAGCTTAAAGAAAAGTACCCATAGAATGTGAAGTGAGGAAACCATCCCAATTAAAATCTATTGCCACAGAAACCTTCTAAAAGCACAGGCATGATTTTCTCATTGAACCATAAATAAAATAAATAGATTATGTCTATGTCCATACGATATATACTACATAAAAAAAAGAAAAATGAACTAACTAATATATTGGCAAATATGGAAAACAGAATAGAGATGATAACAAAGCAGAAAATGGGGGAAAAAGTAAGAATGAACAAAATAAAAATAAGAAAATATATCAGAAATAAAATGAATTGGAGAAAGGTAAATATTTCACAAGTATTAGAAGATAAAATGAAAAGAAATATAAGAACACAGCAATAACAAAAAATCATTTCACATATAAATAATAAACCATAATGTAATTGAGAATTTTTGCATACTTTTTCATCAGGAATATTGGTCTGAAGTTTCTTTCCTTGATGTGCCTTTGTCTGTCTGGTTTTGGTATCAAGGTGATATTAGCCTCATAGAATGAGTTTGGAAGGGTTCCTTCCTTTTCAATTTCATGGACTATTTTGAGGAGTCTTGGTGTTAATTCTTCTTTGAAAGTCTTGTAGAACTCAGCTGAGAATCCATCTGGTCCTGGGCTTTTCTTGGTTGGTAGGCTTTTGATGTTGTTTTCTATTACATTACTTGAAATTGCTCTATTTAAATCATGTATGACCTTCTCATTCAGTTTGAGCAGGTCATATGTCTCTAGAAATTTATCAATGTCTTTGATATTTTCTACTTTATTATACTATGAATTTTCAAAATAGTTTCTAATTATCTTCTGTATTTCAGACATGTAGTATTTCCTTCTTCATCTTGTATTTTAGTAACTTCAGTTTCTCTCTTTTTCTCTTCATTAGTATGGCCACAGGTCTATCTATTTTATTTACTTTTCCAGGGTTGTTTCAACATATGGAAATC